CCGCAAGACACCGAAAACGATCGCCGAAGGTATGGCCCACGGGTTACAAGATATGTCCGCTGTGACGAAAGGCGCCATCGAGCGCATGTTCGAGAGCCGCTCGGCCGAGCTCGAGTACAAGAAGGCCAAGGACAAGAGAGAGCTCGCGGCCAAGATGACCAAGGATCAAGTCGATCTCGAGATGAAGAAGTTGGAGCTCGAGGTGAAGAAGTCGGAGCTCGAGATGCAAAAGTCCGCTGCGATCGAAAAAACGCGGTCTCTGCGGCATGCCGAGATGATGCAGGAAGCAGCGCTCATGCACAAGATGGGCTTTAGTAAAGAGGAGGTCATGGACTACATTCGTAGCAACCGCCAGGACATATCAATACCTATTAACAGTACATATAAAGTGTAATGTTGTCGTCAGACCCAACGTGTTGGTTTTTTCTAAATCGGAATGAGTGAGTGGTAATGGCACGAGCGACCTTCAAAACGAACGACGTCCAGCGCACGTGGAAAATATGCACACGAGCAAGGGCTTGTACACATGCAAGGGCATGGTATTGTGCTTACGTCTAGACTGCGAACTCTACAGTGAGGTGGGTAAGAAACTTTGGAGGCGTCCGAATGGGCCTGCCGGGTGCACCAGCGTTGGGCGGGCCACGAGCGTCATTGTTGCCGTTGTCACCGTCGTCTGTCGAAGTCGTGCAACACCTAGAGACGTTCATCCTCGTACTCGTCGAGGACCATGTTGAGCCGCATCGCCAGTCGTTCGTCGGCAAGCGATGGCGTTGCAGGACCCGAGTTGATGAGCAGCATCGAGGAAGACGACCATGGAAGCGTCGAGGTCAAGCCAGTTGACGGAAGAGCTGTCGACTGGCAGCCGTTGTGATGAACCAAGATGCGCAAGCAGCCCACGATTGTCCGGTGGCTTGACGTTCTTCAACTGCTGCGGGCACAGAGCGGCGCTCGCCAAAGCCATGAGCTCCTCACACGACGCACTCGGCACATGCAGTTTTAGACGCGTCGGTTGATGCGCCGCCGCCTCGGTAAGCAACGTCTGCGGACATTGCTGGGATTTCCAGTGGACCTGCTATGCTTTTAGATCGGCTCCGAAATTATGATCGGGAGCAAAGGCTACTCGACAACGCTCGTCGGTACCAGGTCATACGGTATGACCTGGTACCGGCTTCGTCGTTGCCGATCCAAGAATGGGGACGTGCGTGGAAGCTGCCGCTCACGGACAAGATTGATGCGATCCAATCCGCCATGTAACTACACAGGTCTAGTGAGGGGTCGTTCAAAGCGACCGGCCAAATACATCAACGGTCGACTTTGAGAGAGGCCCTCCCTATCATTGGTACCGGTAGGCTCTTTTGGATCGGGTTGTGCGGTCTGCCGTCAGGTTCGACGCAGCTGTACTCAAGATTATTTACCGCTGGAAAAAAGAAAAGGAATTTAAATGTGTATCTAGAACAGTGTGGTTGTATTGCAATATCGCCTTAGCATATAAAATACGACGGTCCCTTTTGATAAAAATATCGAAGCCTCGGCCAAGTCTGGGTGCAGTTCTGAGTTTGCCATTTCCCGAGCAGCGCGGAACCTGAGACGATGCGCGCCGGGTCTGAGAGTCCCTGGGGTATCCACATATACTCCACGCCCTCAGGCCTGGACGCGCGGCCGGCAGCCCAACCCGTGGACGCTGATACACTTAACCCGAGATGATGCGCGCCGGGTCTTGGAGAGTTGTTGGAATCCCCTGATGGACACCATGCTCTTGGGCCTGGACGCGCCCAATTCATGGCACACGCGCATGCGGTTGGGCAGGTTTTTAGTGAGCTTTGCTCTTTTCCTGCCCCGAGTGCAGGGTTTTTTTACTCTCTCGAGGTTTTCCCACTCGAATGCGAGCTAAATCATCGTAATACACGCGCGTTGTTCAGCGCGTCCGCGATATACTCACCGTGTAGCAACATCCTGTGTGTTTGATTGACCTACCCTCCGTTCTTATCGCGAGAAGCAGTATGTATTACCCGCCATCTATACTTATATACGGCCTGGCAGCGCTAGACCGCCACCGATCTCCCGTCGCCCGGACGATGATCTCTTCTCCGGATTAGCTCGTAAATCTACGTCAAGCATGTCGTTATCGTTCGATTCGCTACGGACGTTGCTGCCTTCCTCCACTCGCTGGCACCGGCACTGCTCACGCCGCTGTTGTTCGAGATGTAGAGACTTCGCACATTCAAGCATCGGCGATGTATGGCCGGTCCCACGCCTCCACCACGTGGCCATAGTACTAATCGATATCGTGGCCGGTGCGATGCCTCGCCGTCGGCATGGACGACCTCGGCAGTTGCCCGCGGCCTGCCGACCGGCTCGACTTTGATTGGCGCGCATCGCCAAGTGGACGACCAAGGTCAAGTACTCGGCGCTTGGGCAGACAATTGGTTTTCCGTTGTTTATCAGGAGAAGTCTGCTCCTGATAGACGACGCTTGCGGTAGAAGGCATCCCCGAGTGTTTGCATGGACCTGATCTTTCATACGTCAGACCAATGTATTTTGCCTGTCGAATGAGCTCGACGGTCCATTCCACGGGCGACCTGGAGGAAAGACTTGGTTGTTGCGGACAAGCAGTGCGGCGCACGCATGCCACTGGATAGCGACGTCGAGTCGTCCGGACCGATGGACCGCCACCAGCGGCTCGAAGAAGACGCGTAGCAGAGCCTTTGACGACGGCCGTTTCATTCAGCTCCACAGCGTCGTCGACATTCTTTTGACAGTACTGTCTTCAGCACTCGACGCTAATACACTATGAATGTGCCCATCGAGAAGTAGTTTGCCCAGCGCCGTGAGGCACGCTCGGTGATCGCATCCTTCCATCGACCTCTCGAAGCTCACGACCACTGTCGTCGTGTCCTGCGTGGCGTAGAGAATTCACAGCCATGGGCAGTGCTTCGACTCACTTCGACACAAATGGCCGCAGAGAGGGTGTAAGGAGTGTGTGAGAGGCTAACGGCCACAGTGTTCGGTCCGTCGGTTGTCCTACACTGTACTGTCTGTTTCACTAGAGAACATCTGCTGAGACGTTTCGTATGTTTTGTGGATGCGTTCTCAGCCGTCCATGAAGCCGCTAGGCATCACATGCGTAGACCGATGCAGAGGTTCATACTAACATGAGATAACCGCGGAAATGACAGACGACCCGGTACATTTATCAACATTGACGATACTAGGCCCGGCCCTCATTTCGTAGAATGTATAGCCTTGTTCGGTTTCCATCACGGGATCCCGAGTCCATTGGCTCAGTTCCTACCTTTTGCATCGGCAAGTAACACGAGCACCTCTGCAGTCTGCAAGGTTGCATCCATCGATATATTTTGCATCGCTGGACGCGTGTCGGTTGATGCGAGTAATTCCATGTCCTGGCTCACTGATCACAGCGCCGTGTCCTGCTCTCTTTCGGGTGATTTTAGGTAAAACAGTGCAGATTGACAAGAAACCGTGGCGTGTTTGTCAACGCGCGTCCACCTTGCTTTGCAAGTCATCACTGACAGATTGCATCGGTTGCGACATGCGGCAATCCGGCCTCGTGACAGGTCGCAAGCGGCGTGGGGGCGCGTGCCCGAGACATGTGGCGCGTGCTTCCAATCGTATGTCTCTACGCGCTCGATGTGCATGGTGTGTGTAACGACTCCTATCCTGTCCCCGTCAACAGCAATTCAATAATGTCGTTCATCCAGTGGTGCTTCAGAATGGCCTGTCGGTGATCATCGTTCGCCTCATTTTTCCAATTCCTCTTCTTCGACAACGATGAAG